AAATTCGAGACATTTTGAAATCCTCCACAAACTTCTGCGGGAAGTGTAAACTCCGAAATGAATCAGTTCATTGAAAATCGCTCGTTGAATGGATATGATTTCATTTTAAGAAAACGAAGTTTTTGAAGAACAACTGTGGAGAGGCAGTTTTGGTTAGTGAAGCTTTTAATAAGGCTTAGTGACGGCATCCGACCGATGGTCAGTCGGAAAAATCCGACAATTTCGATCAGAATTCTGATGATTGGATTCCGACCGAGCAGTTTGGAAGATCGGTCGGAATTCCGACTGTTGGAAATCCAACCTGTCAACTCGGTCGAATTCCGACCGGCACGGAATTCCGCGGAGATGCCATCCTAGTAATGATGCTCTTATATCACTGCGCTGTGAAATCGATTTGCGTCGTCTCGTACCTCAACTGAAGGTTGTTCCTTAAAAGCTCACCAATAATCTAATGCATATGTTTAAAACATTGATTAAGAAGCACCAGTCCATTCATGTGAGCTCTAACATGCAACGTAAAGACATCTGCGTCAACTCTGCAGTTTTCCGCTCTACCGACTGATCTAAGGATAGGACGAATTGCGTCCCGCTTAATATTGTCCAGCAATCTCAACAGTAATTTGTATATATTCCGTTCATTTAGCAAATGCAATTTCCCGTCTATTCGACCACTTTAGGACAAATGAAAAAATATGAATGGAAAGTATTTCCAAAAATTGATAGTGAAAAAATTTCTGTTTTAGGTGCTATCGCACCTCAAAACGCTCGATATTTCAAATTTATTTTCATTTCTCCGATGAATTTTTACTTATTCTTTAACCATCACTTTAATGAAATGATTGCTTTTCTGTTCATCTCGAAGATATGGGTAATGGAGCACCCGAACGTGAGAACCACTGTTATAAGCCCACCAAAGATACCTTCACCCATCCATAATCAAATGCACAACTGAAATATGTTCAAAAAAATAATTAAGAAGCACCAATCTATATATCTTTGGAACAAAATGTATGGATTGGTGGAGGTATCTTTGGAACAAATGAAACCTTGCGAATAATAATGATAACGACAAACAACCATATCATTTTATACGTGTTGTTGGTGTTTGCTGAACGTTGGTCCAATATTTGCTGAGTGAATCCTACAATTTCACCTTGACTGTTAATCACTTCAAATCAATCACAGGAAGAATATTGCGGAGAAAACGTATGGTGCATTTAATTTCCATATATAACTCAATAACGTTTGAATGCTTCTTAGGTTGATTCTGCTGTGGAACTGATAATTCTCCATCTCTTGAAAGATGTAGAAGTGAACTGTACAAGAAATTTTGAAACAGTAGAGCTATTAATTTTATATGAGTTGGCAATTCTTGCCTTCAGCGTACCGTGATAGTGTATGGGTTGGGCATCAATCAATCTTCACAAAAGACCCTTTTGTGGTAATTGAGACATTTCAGACATTGAGACATTGAACATAAAGACATTTCAGTGCGGGTATTATCAAAACGATTGAGAAGCAACATTTATTGGATTCACATGAGATCAGATTGCAGATTGGATTGATTCATCTGAATGTTGATAATCTTCAAACGAAGAGTTGTACAAATGCACTCATTCAACAAGTAGTATGAGTTATTGAATCATCAACATACTAACCATCGAAAATCAGTGTACGAGTGGAGTGGAAATTAATTGACTATCAGATTGTTGAGCTGTTCTTTTTTAAAATTTTGTTCGCTGATTTTTATTTCTCGACGATGAAGATTGCGGTGCTCGAAATACGGATACAGGTGAGTGTTTAATTAAGCTCAGCAATAAAAACGTTTTTGTGTTTCATAAAAGCGGATTCATAGCCTATAATTATTATTTGTGAGATTTCATGTGTCCATGAATTATACAAGTCGCTAAAGCCACTGGTTAGGAAAGAAAAATCCGCATTATATGGTGACATTTCAATTCAATCCAGACCCCCAACTTCCACTTTAGATCATATCGCGAACCTGTTAAAAGTTTGCGGTACCCAAATTAAGTAGACCGTGTTCGTGAGCGGCACGTATTGGTGAGAATTGAACATTTTTTGCATCTTTACTTCTTGACTGTTTCCATTCATCTATCCTTTTTATATTGGATGATGATAGTGAATTTTATGTGCCATTCGAAATTAGGAGATTAACTGAAAAAGAAACCGTTATTGAGTAATGAATGCATCGCATCTGATCGTAACATTCAACCGTCTTCGCTTTGCTTATTATGAATCAAATTAGGTTGCATTATAATATAACATAAAATATCAACCAACAAAACCCAATAACCATTCATTCATAATAAATCAACCATTATTCATAATGAATGTTATAATTTTATCGCATCAACACAAAACTTTCCATAACTTTCACTGTTCTATCGCAAGGTTCTTGAATACAATAAAAGAGCGCTGAATTCATGACATAATCCATTTACAGTTGCGTTGTTCAAACTTTCAACTTATTGTTACCTAATTTTCATCGCAGTTAATTCGGAGTTGATTATAACATCATAAAGACGGCTTGAAACCTATGTGTGCAAATTATAACTTTCAATCAAAAATTTCGACAGTCAACAAGCAATATCCGTTTTGGTATCGTCTAAATCAATCTTCTGGTTCTAGTGGAAAATATCAGCCAATGCAAAAATCTCTTTTCGAATAGCATGTGAAGAGAGTAAATATGAATGAAATGAAGGATGAAATGAACTAATTCGTTGAAGGAAAAAAAAAACTCAGAAAAAAGCTCCTCATGATTTTTGCAAATAATACCAAGAGAGCCTGTACGATTCAACTTGAAACATAGCATAGAAATACCCTAAAGACATTCTATAACCTTGATCAGGAATTTTAGTGTTTTGTCTTCGCAATATCACACGAAGGATTTTGCGAAAAAAAAANAAAAAAAAATTGAGTTTGAGCACCTTGAAAAGCAGCAGCAATGAAAGATTGACTTTGGTATTCATAGATACCATTAGAGTAGTTTTTTTTTGACTATCTGAGGTGGTAAGAACTTCACATGAGTTCGGGTGCAATAATTCAATAGTGTCATTGATCAACAAGTATCTGAGAAAAGAAAGATGCCGCACTGAACTGCGTTACATTACATGGAATTGACCGTTGTCAATCAAATTCGAAATCGACGATGAGTCATCCATCATTGAAATGATTTATTACGTCTATATATGTTTCTTTTTTCCAGCTAATTTCACAATAGGCGATGGTTGAGAATTTGGCACAGAAACCAGTGAAAATGGTTGTGAAGTTGTGTCAGTTCACAGACTAGATATTGATATCATAAATAGATGTCGATATTGATTATGTATATTGCTTCGCGAGTTACTATTACTTACAATTAGATATTTGTAACCGTTTTATTTTGCAGACTTTCAAATAGCGTTTATGAGCGGTACCGATGCTTAAGAAGTGATCCGTCACATTTACCAGCAATTGGCAAGTGAATAATACAACTTTGGCCTGCCATATCTCGTGAAATATTTCAGTGAAAATGTTTCAATTTTCCCATCAGGAGTGGTTGCTTGATACTAAACATGTTGCCAATATGCACATAAAATTCTGAACTTTCGGAGATATAATTCAAATGGTTGAATGTTGTTCATATGCATCACTTTCAACTGAGAACAATATCAGAGTGCTGTCCGAGAGTATTAAGAATCTGTATTGTGGACGTTTTAATGCTAAACGGAGTAATATCATTGTTCATGCATATAGATGTGAACACTCTTGGAAACGGTATCCATCATCAGCCAGCAATTTGTCTGATCAAAAAGAAGATATGGCACAACAAGATGGAAATGAACCTATGCTCTGATGAAAATGGATCAGCACATGCTAACTGAATGCTTCAAAATCCTTCTCTAACACCTACTCACGCTGTTTTGCCTTCGAACGATTCCAGTGCGATTTGTGCGGATATCAAGAATGATTACGATGGCTGTTGGAGTGATGAGGTTGATCATTGTCGCAATTGAGGCGGGCGGAGTCTTTTGTCTTCATCTCCATCTTCGTTGAATTTTGCTCTACAATTTATGTATGAATATAAATTGAAAACGGTACTCCACGTCCTCATTTCATATATAAATAGATTCCACGGTCATTCGAAGACTGAAATGCTGTGGTTGGTTTGGTTATTGAAAGGTTCGTTCGATTGAGGCGGTTGATTGAGCATTACTGTAGTCAGTAACGATTTCTGTTGCATTGTGCAACGCAAGAAAAACCAATCTATAATTCGATCATTATTCAGCAATTCTGCTTTCAACCTGCTTGGAAACAATTTTGTGCATCCATATTTATTAAAGTTTTGTTCATGTATATATAACCATTCCTCACATCACGTCAAGAAATTCATACTCAGCATGTGATTGGAATTGTTTTCATCGATCAGAAAAAGTACTTATGTGAAAAATTATCAGTTCAAATTATCAGTTCCCTTCTGTCTGCTAGTGTTGGATATTACCCACTTTCTGTGCCTTTTTCCATAGAATTATTCTCCATCGCATATTTCACGTCTCAGAAAACTACCAGCTCAACAACTCGAAAATCTTCATTCATCAAATTAGGCGTCCCTACCACACAGCTTATTCGTCATAGACGCCATGCTTTGATGGGGTGATGCTTTCAGGTATTTCTGGCTGACGATTGCAGACTTTTTTTCATGACGCCTTAGTGTTTAGTGTACGCAAGATCTCAGGTTCAATCAGAAAGTTATGCATTTGTATTAGGCAGTAATGATAACCCAAATGTTGAGTTTGTCATAGCCCCTGAGCGCGTCATTTTGGCTGATTAGTTTATTCGTGAATGGAACTGAGGAATGTTATAACTGACCATTTCCTAGCAAATTATTGCATGCGGTAGTCAGGCAATCAATTTTTTGAACGGATCCATTCATCCCAAAGCGCAGTTCAAAAATAAATATGCTCTCTGCTATTGCCCCTTTATAGGAAGTTCGAATGTCAGTTGCTCTAAAGATATTTAACAAAATAAACAAATACGAATTGTATTCAGGTATTCCCAACAAAATTGTTTTTTGTCCATTTTCACATCTCCCAAAAGTGAGAACCTAAACTTGAATGAATAAAGGTTTCTCGGTTCATCGCAATTCCCAGGTTCAGTGTGCTAACTCGACAGCTGATTACGTTCTCTGTCAATTTTTTGGTCATCGGCAAAAAATTTTTTTGCAAGCAATCGCATTGTTATATTATATGCTTGTTCGTTGTTGAATGAAACAATAATGAAATTCTTGGTTGAAAAGTGACCATATCACATCTTTGCAGATGGATTCAACAACTTTTGTTATCACGCTGTTCATCCTTCTCAAGGTTAACGAATTCAAATTTCATGAATCATTCATTTTACATTGAAATTTACGACATCATTCAACCTGAACATTGTTGCCATTGTTGTAAATATTATCAAAAATAGAACCAATGTTATCATTTAGAAGTACACTTCATTGAATATAATTAGTACTATTTATCATTAACATCCTTCCTCTTGCCGCTTCTTATGAACGGGTGTAAAGAAAGCCTGAAATATCGAATGGTCGCATCTTCTCAACATTATTCAATCAAAATAGAACAATGAAAGTTGATTATCACAGAATAATAATTTGTATTTGTTCGACTGTTTCACTAGTCATCGTTCGCTTTACAGGTTTCTGGCCATCTCGACGCTATTTCAATTGATAATTCAATATCAGGTTATTGTTGTTCATTGTCCTGAAGTGATTTGTTTTCGCTCTTCAGGATCTTTCTATCACTTTCGAAACTCTGATTTGAATTTGTTTTATTGAACTCAGTGATATTCTGTCAAATAAGTTCTTAATTTTATGAGTGTATTAAGCTGATTTAGAGAACAACAAAGTTTCATTTTGTTCGCAAATAATCAGCTGAATTGATTGATCATATAGTTTACATGCAACGCTGAAATTGATCATACTGGTCACATACAAAAGCGATCAGATTGAATTTTGGAAAAATAGGTTGGTGTAGTGTTGGGAACAACTCAGTTCTACTGAAAACTGGCAGAATTGCATTCCTAAAAGTATGTCAACAAACTGCTTTGAGAATGCTTTGAACAACTGAAATAAATTACAGATGAACCCGTGGTCAAATGTGAATCAGAGAGCATATCCATTGTTTTCAAAACTCTTCAGTCATTTTCTGGTCGAACGTTCGTTAAGGGTTATATTCAAGATGCCGATTGTGTGCAGGTGATGCTGATAACTCCTTAGACCTTCCATTAGTTGTGCTACCGTCACTAAAATAAATTTCCCAAGGAGTCAATACGTAGAATGATGATGATGTTTGAAAGGAAAATAACTAAAACTTTGAATCTCAAACTTAAATATCTTCACAACCAACAAGCGATTCATTTCACCACCACTCTACAAACGGCATTTTGAAAACAGAAATTAATCAGTAATTGAGTTCTATTGTTACGATCAAATTTGCAAATCTAGACAATAGCGATTATGTGAACGTAGCGCTGATTATCTGAACATTTAGGCTGGAAATGATCGTTATGAGCACGAATTCTCAGTAAAATTTGATCAGTGTGGATTGCGACGTGCAAGAGAGGTTTCTGTTTATTTTTATATAATAATGAGACTAAGTTTTTTAGAATTAGTAACCGACCGTATAGCTCAGATAATGAAGCTGACTCTGTAGCTGTTTGAGTAATTATGCTTTTGAAGAAAGATATAATACCATATTTTCTAAATCACTGAAAAGGCACGGCTATGTCATCTGATTACCCATGGTTTTGTTGCGTAACTTGATCACAGTGATTGCCTAATTCAGTGGAATTTTTATCGGGAATTTCATGAAATTTTTTGCTCAAAAAGAAATTCCATGATGTACAATTCCCATGATCGAAATTGCGTGGTTCGATGTTGCTGTTTATTTCGCTGTTTCATGTAATTTTGTTTCCAGTATAACGGTGTGAGTGTTTCAACGACAATTATAATATCTTTTCATCATGTTAGTCATTTTGTTGGTTATCTTATTAATGGATCCAAAAAATCACTTTCATCATTAAAATAAATGCTCCAAGCGCATGAATAAATGCTGCTTTGCCTCAAGCATGCTCTTTGCTGAAGATGATTTGCTTTATGAGAATGAATCTAACGACAAAGCTTAACATGAGCGCCTCACAGAGAACCTAATCTTGAAGGTTTTTCTTACAAAAGTGGATCGTGCTTATCGACTTAATTGCTTTTATATGGAGGCTACGAAGACAGTTACGCAACAAATCGATGTCAGGTGAACGGTTTTCGCATGCATATTCTCAGCGCTCATCTATTCATCCAATTCCTGCTTCATTTTGTCACTTATCATCTTATTCGAAGCTTCAGGAATTTTCAGAGGAAGAATAGTACAATCAGAAAGCACGGACAAATGAAGGAAAACTTATTGCCAAAAAAATTCATCTTTTGACCTAAAAATGTACAAAACATAAATTTTCTGAATTGGAACAACAGAATTGTTGATGACTGAAATACAAACTTATCTGTTCACTCGGCTTTTTTATGTTCTCTGAAAAGCTGTGTAATGAGTTTACCATTGATATGAATTGAATGAAGTCAGATCTATGTGAGGTATTATACAAACGCATTTTGAAAAGAGGAAGAATCAATTGTGCACATAACATGACAGTCGGTCATCCAGAGTCATGCGAAAAACATATCAACAACACGGACATCGTACATTTAGTGTTACATCTCTCATTCGCAGCGAACCAGTTTCAGACTCAAATCGAAACAAATTTTGTTGCATTAGCTCATTGTGAAAATATCTTAGCAATGTTATTCAGTCAGTCAAATTGCATAATTTCGATGTGAAGAGTGCTAACAAAGAGGGAAAGTTTTTCATCGACAAAATTTGCAAGCATGATTATCATCATAATTTTCAAGATATTATTTTCAGTATGATGACAACAGTTGAATTGAAGGTGCAGAGCCAGATGCCGTTATGCAGGTATGAGTTCGTCGCATATTTTTTGATGAAGTTTGCCTCCGTTATCTAACAAAATCCTTTTATGATAATATGCAATCTAGTGGAGTAGGTGCGATCTAGATCAGAAATATGGTTTAATTTTTCATATCCTCCTGTTTGATTTTAGTGCTATGCGTATTGCAGATATGAGATCCTGTCTAGTGGTCCTTATGGTTCTCCTATTCGATATGCGAAAATTGGAGATAGCATCTACCACAAATGGACTTGCATGTCAGATATTGATGACATTTACTGTATGAGAGTTCATTCATGCACAGTTTATGACGGTCAAGGTGGTGAGCGCATCCAAGTGTTAGATGCTCAGGGGTGAGTTGATTCGTTGTTGCTATTATTCGGAGTCGAGCAGTTTAGACAGCTCTTAAGTTTTTTGCGTTAATAATCATACGCATGCAAAAAGCAAACGAGCGTTTTTCGTTTATAAAACATTCGGAAGTAATTATCAAAGAATGGAAGATTGAACATTCGTCACATAAGGATTATTTAAAAAATCAAGATGAGCATCTATCAGAACTAGTGATGTTTCTATTCCACACTATTGGCAAAGTGTTCTATTCTGTTCTATTCCTGTTCCCCCAGTCAAAAAATTGTGGCAGTTGGGGTAGGAAATGTGATTTTTTGACGTTTTTAATGCAAAATGGCGAAGAATTGCGGTGGGAGAACATTGTCTACGCGGAAAGTTGACAGCTTTTGGCGGTGACGATTAAGAATAAATAAAGGGTTCCGACTTTTGGTAACCAGCATCTTTAAAGAGCAGAGGCAGCTTAGCTTCCAACCTTTGGACGCAAACTTGTTATGACGAGTAGGAACTAGCCATTCGGTTCTGGATTCAAAATCTTTCATCTGTGTAAACGATGTTTTGAATCTGTACGCATTCTTACGCCACTATTGGCAAGCCCGACTGATCTTGAAAGTCGCTTTCAGCGCAGTTCGATTTTAGTCTCAAACTGACATGCAATCTCTTATAGTGATGAGTCTAGAATGAATTTATTTGTTGAATCCAACTCAATTCTTCTGAGCATTAACTTGTATTGGGTCGTAAAATGTGAACGATTTTTGTAAAAGACTGCTCCTAGAGTCCAGAGTATGACCAGTAACTGAAATGGGGTGTTGAATAAGAATCAGAGTCGCATCCTTTAGTTATTTCCTGAGAGGATTTCTCACTGACAGCCTTTAGCAGTTTTGAGAATTAGCCACGATAACTTGCCCTTGCTGCAGTTGACTCATCTCTCATTGATGACCTTTCTTCTCACACTTGTGGTATTTATTAAATATGGTACTTTATGGTGGATCCGAATCAATAACAGCTATCAGCACAGAATCAATTGAGAAACAATTGCTCCACCATCCTTGCCCAAGCCTCAAACATCCTCAGACGATGTAATAATAATCCATGAGTTAACAAAAAAATCAATGGCTGCACAATATATAGTACGTTAGCTTCTCGTTCTCCATATCAAGCAATATTTTCTTGTATATTTTTGTGAGTACAGTTGCAATCGAGAAATTCCTCCGAAAAGCGTGCTATTAACTGGGCAGGAAAGGTTCAAGTGTACTGCAAACGATTTGGAAAAATTTGATCGTATCTAAATTTTATCATTATTTTTGTTGAATAATGGTAATTTTATCACTATTCCTTCTTAAATTTTCAATCGTTTAGTGGCGTAATGAAGTTTTTCCGACGCAAATAAGCGTTGCTATTGCAAATTTCAAGCGAAGGTTCCAAAGTAGCAAGTAGCGACAGCGCTTCATTACTGCTTCGGAGATAATGGCGTTTTTCAGCGAACATTTTTTCGATAGCGAAGTAGCCATAAGCCGCTATCTTTTTTTGATGCCGTGCCCATTTCTGGATCCACCGAATAAACGTAACCATCAAACGCATAACATTGTGGCAGATTTCGAGAGATTCACTATCAAGAAACAATTTAGTAAGGTTCTTTGAACGTCCGTACGTTCGTGATCATGCCACGTATAGCCTAGAATCGGTAAACTGAGATGATCTGTACGACTAAACTATCGACTAGCACGCAACAAAAAAGCAATTGAATAGGCTAAAATCGGTTTACAGAAATATAATGGAAATTTCAATTTTTTGATATTGCAGATGTTCGGTTGACAAGTTCGTGCTGATCGATTTAGATTATGTAGACGACTTAATAGCTGGGCAAGAAGCGCATGTATTCAAATTTGCGGATCGACCTGCACTTTATTTTAATTGTCAGTTGGAACTAACTTTAAAAGACTCAACTGAAGGATGCGCCAGAACGGTATCTTCAATACATAATTTTTAATATGCTTTTCATACAATACTAAGTTTGTTGCTCTGATATTTCTGGAACAAATCTCGTTTCAGCGGCCACATTGCAATTCACAAGTTGAAGTAAGACCATCTGGAAAAGCTTCAGAACAGTTAGCTGATGATGGGTAAGTTTGCTTACTTGTTCAGTCACCAGCACATTGTGAACAGTGTATGCGAACAGAGCGATCGGTTTCGAACAGCATGAAATTTTTTGAAAATAATGGAAGCAGTCAAAAGTATTTTCATATGCTTCCATATCGAGTTGTCTCAAGTGAAGCAATTTGCTTGAAGTTGTTAATAAATGGCGAATTAATGATTGCAGACGATCACCTGAGCCACCAACAGCAGTCTTTCAGCCAACAGACAGCTATGGAAATGAAGCAGAGCCAGGTTGGGTACACATTCACTCGTTTTTATTTCTGATTAATTCGATTCAATCCAAAAAATCATATTTAGTATTCATGTTCAGTTTCCTTCTAATGTGCAGATTTTTTGCATCATTTTGTCTCGATCAACTTTTCAGCAGATGAACAGTCGCGTCGAAAAAATGTTTCAAACGAGAAACCTTATGTAGTTGCAGCACCACCTGGTATAAATCCTCCATCTTATGATGTATGTTTCATCTATGATTGTTTCACTGAATAACGAGAATTTTTTTCATCACGCTTATAATTCGAATAATGAAAGTCACTTTTTCATGGTTTTTGAGATTGTATCTGCATTGTCCTTAAGAACGGTTGCACTTTTATGGGTATTTTTACAGGAAATTTCATCGACGGCTCAAGAACTGTCCAGCTATGCATTGAAATCGACTGCTTCGGATACCCAGAGCGCTTCATACAAACGACTTTTAAGGAGACGAAGAAAGACGAGTATGAATTACATCAAATTATTTGCATTGTCTCATTTTATATGTACGATGATTTTTTTGAGTTGTCCAACTTGTAATGTGAAGCAATCGCTGCGATGCGTGATGAAGATGATGACTGTCCTGATCTCGCAAGAACTTATGACTTTGAACACGCATCGTACTTTCAGCTGTTTTTTTCTTGCAGTTCTTGATAATTCGAAAACGTTTCAAATGTTTCAAACGTTTCAAACGATCGCCTATGACGTCTCACTTTCTATAAAGATATACGATTTTTCGCAAACAGAAAATACATATGCCCTCATAACACATAATCAGTTCCACACAAGAAACTTGTTGTGACATGTGCAGATTCTTTGTCAATGGAATTCTCGCAGTTGTTTCAGTTGTTTTAAATGGAATTTTCAAAAACAGCATTGCAGGTATTATTACAACCCAAACCAATCCGCATCTCGCCGACGTCGATCTACCAGAACAGATTTTGACCGTTTTTGGCATTGAAGATGGGCCGCCACCAAGTTAGTGGTTTAATATACAACTGTTATGAACTTTGATTGACGTATTTGAGAAAGTGACTTTCTGGATAAATTTTGTACTGCATCAAAACGGTGCACCGACATGAACATAAGAATTTTCTTTCTAAGGCAATTACTTTTGTGCAGTGCTGATCTTATCAGTGTTTTTGAAAAGGAATTGTCGTTTAGTATAAAAATCGAGGATGAAACAGTGTCGAATTTGCTACAAAAAGTTACCATTTGTTTTAGCACAGCAGGAGTTGGAAAGAAAGAATGTCGAAGAGATACGTATGAATATCCATTCGAGAACATGTTTCACAAACGGTACGATCAATGAAATTGACAGCACCAACATATCCTTCCTAACACCATATAACCCATTATTCACTCATACCAATCTTTTCTTTCTTGATTGCCTACATTACATTTGCTATGCAAAGCATTAAATCATTTGAGCGCTGCAACATCTAAATGAACTTTATTTTGATTTTTTCTGCAATTTTGCGACTTGCTGATGATTTTTATTGCGTGAAAAATCACTAGATCAATCAAATGAGGTCGTAAATTAATGTTGGACTGCTTTGCAGTTTCTGAAAATTGTTCACTCATTTGGGTATATGTGTTGAAATAATCCAATTTGCAGCCAGTGTTATTCTGTCCAGCACAGCGATATCATGTGCATTTATCACCCTTTCTTCAATACTCTTATTCCTTCTTCGAAAACAACGACAGCTACTCAATGCACAACTTTTTAAGTGATGTTATTCGCAACGTCATTCTCAAGTCTTTCATTCTTCTGCTGTTGAATTGGTTCGATAAGCCTGTTGATCTACAATGGTGAAATTCACTGCTTCGGCTCACGCTTCTCATAAATTTGCTTTATTCATTGCGTCACTGTTGTGACAGTTGACGAGAAATAGTTTTTGCACAATGGATGGCTAATTCCGTAGAATCTGAGATTCACATCGTGTACTCAATATATATCTCGAATTCATTTGTTAATGCATGCAAACACCGAAAAAGTGATACATGCTAACAGTTTCTCAACCGGGAGTGTTCGTACCCCCAACGGGTGCGAGATGGTATTCCAAGGGGTGCGAGATAAGATTTCATTTTTTATACATTAAAGTAGGCGAGGACGGTGTTCAACATATGCATTGTATAAAGTAGGCGAGGATAGACTGTGATGTACATATTTTTGAAAAGGACGGAACGTGCTGTAGTGGTACACATTGATCTACACTATGAACAAGTGAGTAGAGAGTGGGTGTTGTGAGGACATTTTGATTGTTGTTGTAGGGTGTCGCAACTAAGCCCTCTTCATTGCCTCTTTAATGATGTCGAAATGCGTTAAAGATTTTGGACCAACTCGGAATCGAACTCATGCCTTCTGAACAGATCGAATCCTCAAAGCCTACCATTACACCAGTACTATCGGCCCAATGCTCAATCATTTCTATTTTATTTAAGTACTATCTTCTTCAAATACTATCATCATTTCATGCCAGCTTTTCGCGCTAGCCGCGACATAGGAAGTGCGAGGACATGTTGAAATTTTTAGGGGATGCGGAGGACAAAAAAGGTTGAGAAGCACTGTACTAAGTGGTTGGATGGCTCTTGTGACACTCTTATTACATAGGCGCATGTTTTCAGTAATCAAAGATAAATGATTGTTCGGGTTGAAACCGTATTTAAACGCCGTGTTTTTGAATAGGACAAATAGATAATATCGTTTATTAACATTGTTGACGTCTCGACTTGTTAAGCCAAACTCTGTATTTTGTTCTTTCAATTCCATCGTGCTGTGATATAGTTTAACGAGCCGAAACGTCAGCAATATCAGTGATGCTTGAATCGGTCTAAACCCTAATCATCGTTTACCACTGATACATGATAACTGCAAATGAATTTATCTGAGAATTTATTTGCTATTCGAACTTCTTTTTGTCCCTTAAAATAACAGTAAAAGATTTCACATGATTAGTTCAATATGTTTTTGTAATGTGCCGATTCAGAGTTTTTCATTTTGTTGTATTATAGTATCATTACAGGTGAATTAGGGACTGATGCATTTCACTGTATTTTTGTATGATGTTGATAGGTTTATCACTGTAACGATTACAGTATTTTAGTCATTACCATGTTACGTTTCGTTTGCAATTCCTACATGTACATGTTGGTTTTTCTTACGTTTTCAAATGATTGCTTTTACAATGATTCAATAACTATAAAATATTTTTGCTGCTTTTTTGTAAACGATCTCTAAGTATTAGTGCTTAGTTTATTCGTGACTGATTCATAACGGTGCAGAGCAGTGTTGCAGGGACACAAAAAGGTCGAGTTGAGGAGTTTCGAAGTCAAAACTCAATCTCATCCCCGTCTCCGGCTCTCGAACTTTCTCAGAAAATGGAGCTTTTGAACTGCATTTTCACTACGCATGACTTTCCCTTTCTTCTTCGATACTTCGGCCTATTCAGCATGGACCGAACGTAGGCGGTCGAGAGGCTCTTTTATTGATGACTGTTTCATTATGGAAATCATTCCACACATCACAAATACACCTTTTTCCTCTGACAAATGAAAATACTCCCACGCACGCTGCCTCTGATTTAAACCTTCCCCCTCTTGTTTCCTGCTGAGCCGTTGCTGTGCAGACATCCTCATGACCGCTGCATACGGAAGCAACAAACTTAAATAACGCAACCGTAGTATCCGGAACAGTTAAATTGATGCGAACATTGCTGATGAAAGCGCTTCGAGTTCGCGTTTTTGATGCTTTAATCCAATTATATTGATTTTCGAGGAAAATCCTCGAAAATTTCCTTGACTTTCCTCACTCCCAACTTTTCCAGATTTGTTGGGGATCCCCGACAAATCTGGAAAAGTTGAGGGTGAGGAAAGTCAAGGACGAAAAAAGAACACTCGAGATTGCTGATCACTGCAACACTAGAGCGCTCGGCATGTTTAGTTGATAATGCAGAGACAACATTTGTCAATGGTATCGCGAAACATAGAACGACAACAACTAGCCTTTGAGGATATATAAAAAACATTTTATGAACGAACAAAAATGAGGAAGGATCAGTGTTAGATTCAAAAACAATGAACGTGTTAAGCAGCTTCTTTTACATGAAAAACTGTCATGCTCTTACGTCCAGCAAGGGTTCTTCGACCTCGTTTTGTGGTGTTCGTAAATTAACTTCATGAACCGCTTCAATTGAAGAATTCTTCATTGATTGTGCAATAGTTTTACCATTTGACTCATGTGTGGTCGGTAACATTAGATCTGATCCGCTTTTCGTTCCGCTTCCAATTATGCTTCGTCTTGTAAGCTGCAATCAGCAACTTTAGCGGAAAGAAATGGTCATATATGCATTTTTTTGAGCAGCAGAAAACGTGAAAGTATTCTCACTTTGTCAAGCAAAAAGTATGAACAAAAGTTGATTCGATCAAAGTCATATTGGTGCAGCGTACCGAAATAAGATCCTTGCTATAGCGACGTGAGACTCGATCACGATCTGCAATCCGCACATAGACCGGACGATAAAGAATTACGTCTTCTTCGATTGGAAACTCTTCATCTTCGCCTGTGATTTGAAAAATTGATTGGAATGTTGATAGCAGTTTTTACAACAATGTTAATAAAGCTCAAATTAAGATTTCAAAAAATATTTTCCAACATATCAACCATTGACTTGGCCGTCGTAAACTTGACCCAGTCGAAATTCTGGCGATATATATCGTCCACCTTCTACGTGCTCACTGCAGAAATCTGCAAGCGAAAATATTTTACTGATTGACATCCACATGATCAGAAAGAAAGTTTGAGCACACACTGATAATGTGATAAACAGGCCGATAATTTAAAATTCATTGTTAGGAATAGATGACTGCTTTATTGTTCTTTATTGATTTTTTGAGATGGTCACATTTACATATCGCCATATTTATTACGGTTGAAATCAGACAAACGATGAAGTGTTACCGTGGAGCATGCATGATATTATATCAGAAGTGGGAAATTCACCAAAAAATAAAGCGTTCAACAGCTAATGGAAATAATGTGATCTTCAAAAAGTAAACTCGATCATCAAAAAGTCTTGTGGTGAACTTTGCAGTTCTTTCATGCGGCTCAGTATTACCGTAGTCGACAAACGACGGTGCTGCATTTGGTACTCGATACGGTAATGTGGCGACAGTGAGTGGAAACTCCATCGGTAGTGAATCGTTTCCTCTTTCATCCTCAAGACAAACCTTAAACAATTCACTGCTTTCTTTTATTTGTGTTCTGCATTTCAGTTCCTTCTACTTTCCACTGGCAGCTTTCTTCGGCTAGACAATGTGTACTCAACATAGTGATCATTGAATGTTTCATTCCACTTTATTAGTGAGGTGATTTCTTATTGTATGAATTTTGATAATGATGAAGGAGAGGGGTGGGAGAGAGTTGGCAAATATATGAGCATGTTGGAGAGGGCCGAAAGCTTAGGAGGGGAACTAAAATCGGTGACCATGAACATGAGCAGCTCAGAAAGTTCCCTTGCACCCATGAAAAAATAAGCGAGCAGCGTTGTTCTTCGTTAACTTCCCATCATTAAATTCTGGTTATGAACTGATTAGCATCCATATGATCATAAAGAAAAGAAGTTTGACCACACCCTGAGAATGTAATAAACTTGAATGAGTCTGCAAACTCCAATTAGAGTCGGTGGTACAACTGGCAAGCGAATCGGCTGTTCTAGAGCTGAATCGTATTTACCTTGTGAATTTGGCGCAATCGAAGGTGACCTACAAATAGCGATATCTTTTCTGATGAATGACAGTGTGTTGAGTGGGGTTGTTGGGATTGATAAAGATAAGAAATCATTTGTGGACTTTAATTCCTCTTCAAGTTTGCAAACTTTCAACAATCCGTTTCAGTTCGTAATTCGGCCTTGATTTTGCGTTTTACCAAGAAACAAAAGATTGATGCTTCGAAATTAAAAATTGATACTTATGTTCAAGAACAGGACATGACAACGCTTTACTCTCGCCGACAACACCTTTCTCGATGAAATATTCAATATGCTGAAAAAGATTCATTGAATATCAGCTTATCAAGGAAATTACGAAACTTAAATGGCTAGATAGCATGCAACTGACAAAATTGGGATAAACACATTTTGATTGTAATTTTGATCAAAAGCTCTGTGCAAGCATGCAGTGAGCAACTGACATCGTAACAAGAGCATCTGAAAAGTTTAAAAATGCACGCTTGATCAAAGAACCTGTGTCAGTCTTGTATTAATGCATACACTATAATCTTGTCTGTTCTCCACATGTGCACGGATTCGAATATTTTCACCACACACGTAAGCAGTTCGATCAAGTGTTATCCTCAAATTGAACAATTCCAATTAATTGCTACCTATCATTCGTGACAGCGAGGATGTGTGCTTTCGTTCAGGTATGTAAATGCAAGTCGACAAAAATGATGTTTACCTCATAGCTAATGCTCCCTTTTGACAGCACCAACAGTATGTTGTTTTCCTGTCTTGCCCGACGAGAGCACTCTAGAACGTAACATCTAATTAAAAATAAGAAATCTGACTGGGAAAACTTATGCTATCCTGCATACAAAATGCGGATATTAAATCACAAATGTTTTGCTGTTCACAAATTTACCACAGGGATTAACTACATTCAGTTTTACATTATTTTAAGCCAACAATCGCAGAAAACATTTGAAAATTAGGACTTTGGCAAATTGACTTCCAAATGTGTTGAAAGCAATGAATATCTATCAAACTTCATCTCAACTGATTTGTTGTCGTAAAGTTATCTTTACACAAAACACGGCTATATTACCAAGTATTTTTCTTCCATACAGTCGATATGCGGTCCAATAATTGTAAAATATTTGATACCTTGAGGTGAACTGGCATACGGTATATCAATAATAACCTAAAATCCTTCGTATAATTATTGTATTGATTGTTTCATATAAAATTGGTGTAATGAAGAGGGTTCACTAAATTTGAAGTGCCCCATAAGTTCCTTATTCGTTCACTCCTAAATGATCTTTGATGGTGATCAAATGTTTGTTAAGAACATTGAATGATTGGAATGCTGATGCCAATATTCGATAAAATGTATTGCAATTAACATTTGCTGATGTTGCATTGGTTACTAGCCTTGATATAATAGCGAATAGTGCCCAATTTTGATTCCAAGGAACAAGGCAATGAAGTTTGGGGAAGAGCGAATTGAAATGGAAATTGGTGCATTCCTCGTGGTAATATCGGTATGCTTTCACATTCTTCCGATTTATCTGAAGCAATTGAGGGAATTAATTCGGTGAAAATATCGAATTCGGAAATCCGGAAATTTTAATGAATGCATTTTTGTTGAATTTCATTGAGAGGATGAAGAAGATAATGCAATCAGCCAAATTGAAATGGCGTTAAAGAATTAGAGAAAAACGCAGCAGCATCTCTGCATGAATTCTCATCTCCGAGAGAATCAGTTGGAGGATAATCCTTAACGCTATACATTTTGTATGTGTTTGAATCTGAATCAAAGCTTAGACATCCTAAAACCATCACGGCGCAGTGCGTTAATAATTATCTCGTCACGAAAGAAGCTTCCTCGTTTCCAAAACCTTCTGAACGTAGAGCACTTTGACTTTACGAGGAATAATGATTGTTTTGTTGACTGAACAATAAAATGCACTTATTTACTTTAAGGGGGGTCGTACGTGAGCACACTCGCGTGCATTGTGAAAGACGATTTTGCATGCACCGAGGCGAGGCCATGCGCAGTAAGTGTGTTCAGGCAAAATTTTCTGGTAAACACGTAAATTGCCTAAATTTGCCTGAGCGCGCATACGCTTGTTCAGGCAAATTTAGTGTTAGGCAATTGCGAGACCGCGCGCGAGCGTGCTTGTAATTGCATAATACTAAATTGAAAATATCCATGTTAAAATATACATGTGCCGAATGAAAATATCCATTCGCATGCTAAAAATTCCGAAAAACATACGTCTGACTATGAGTTAAAAGAACGTTTTCGGTTACCGAATTATGCTGATTAAACTTGACAGAAAGAAAATGATTTTCATTGTCAATACGAGCTATCGAATGGGCCGATGAATCAGTATCTACCCACCTTTGCCCCACGCGAGAAATTTTTCGTCCAAAATGTATTGGTCATCCTTAACAGTCCTGCGTTCTCCTGACTTTGTGACTTTCAGCTGTGCATGTGCTTTACCTCGGAGAAGCACTCGAACACCTCAAAATATGTATGGAAAAAATTAATTAAGAGTTCGTGAATTGAATGATGTTCAAATTTCATGATGCAATGATATCTTTTGTGATAACGTCAGTTTCGATCTCAAACTGCTCGTTTGTCACAGAATGCTATTAATTCCTTCTCATATGCTTTATTCAGTTCATCCGATCTAGTCTGAACAGTCGTTCTTGGAATATATTGTTGCTAGAATTCTATATTGTCAAGAGACTTCGTTTCATGAAATCAAGCAATTGTTCATTCAGTATGAGAATTTCTGAGAAAATTAAACAATTGCTAAGATTTTCAGAACTACTCATTATTCGATCAGCACTTGCTGTTAGCGTATGGGCATGATTGTATTCAGAAATTGATAAGAAAACTCAGTGGGATGTTCAAAAATTGAAATAACCTTTGATTTTGATATTCTCGATATTTTCAAGGATAACACTCCCACTGATTATTTCTCCGCAATAATAGATATCTTTTCCCAGTCTAATATCAAAACTTGTGATGTAATCCATTTGTTTCAATAGACCTGCAAAAAAACTGAGTAATGTTTTTAATAAACGATTGAAGTTACGTGGTTGATATCGCTCGCCACTTCTATGATAAGGGTTCCAAAGCTTAACAAGCAAGAAGAGGCATCAAGCCTATAAGAATTCAAGCATTTGCAAGCAAGCCCATGGGAATGGAAGAACTGAAGTTAATAATCATTTAAGAACAAATCATTCTGATAATGTTTCGTATTGATGGCATCGGATTTGAGTCGCACACGAATATGATATTCATTGAAAATACTCGTTATCCATGCAGCAAAACTAGTACAAAAGCTTGTAAAAATCCATAATCTGTTTCTTTTCCACTCGTCTTTCGTATGAATCTCCCACATCTGCTCAGTCCCTCACTCCTCTTTCGTATGAAAACAATGTAATAATCGGAAGGTTTCAAAAACAGTAGTATTGATGGGATTGTGCTGATGAAATGAATTCTTGTCGACACGGTGGTTTTGAATTGAGCGTTGAAAATTAATTAAGCTCACACATGCGAAATAAAAATGTCGTATAGTATTCAGCAATGCAATTTTAGGAGCATCTGATAAAATGATTTAATTTGACGCTTCAATGTTATTGATAGTCTAAACTTTATTACAATTCTCTCAGAATCGACATTTATGGATGACTATTAAAACAAAAGCTGCTATCAGTCAACCAAGTGATTAGTAACTGCAATAAATTTCACAGCATAATGATTTGCTCGACTTATAATATCTAGTCGCTAATGTTTACATACCGCTAATGTATATTTGAGGAACGAAAACAATTTTTCTTAAAAGTTTCTCGGCAAAGATGATTCTAAGCAAGCATTTCTAAAGGCAAAACCAAATAATTCCATTAGATGTGATCAGCAATTGATTTACCGATTGCTCTGGGGATGACTTTCAAAAATAGCCGTTGTACTCTTTATCAAACCACATGATTGATTTTCATTCATCAATTTTTGCAATAATTACGCAACTGATCAGTCGGTTTTCACCTATCGTTCACTTTTTTCTGATGGCTTCTCCTTAAAACTTTTCCATAAGAAAGAAGAAATGAAACGATCACTCGTAATCAACCATATTCTCCTAGGCGAGATGGATGATGGATTTTTATGTTCTTCTTTGTTGAATATGGTTTACACTGCAGTATTTTCAAAAATCATTATCAACATAGATATTGCTTAGAGATGAACCAATCTATGTTCCCTCAATGAATGAACAATGAACATACAAAAAATAAAGCAAAAATGGATATGACTCGAAGTCAGTCACGCTTCTTGTGACTTACTTGATCAGCAGTTAAAAGTTCAACGTTTTGCGCCAAGCGTTTCAGTAAATTCACTTGAACCTTGCGCACGAAGTAAAATATTCTCGCTTCCAGGCAAAAGCAAAATCACATATTAGACGGCTGAATGAGACAGAAAATGATTAATGTCTATTCATATATAGCTATCATAATCTCCTGACACGAATATCCTACTTTTGACTACCACATGAAAGTAGAATTTTCTCATAAGCGAAAATGTTGTACTGAAATATTGAATTAAAGATAAACATTACCACATCATTTGGTTGTTCGTGAAAGCACGAACATTTCAGTACAAGAAGGAATAACATATATTTAAGAAAATCATTCGTTTTACGATCGGGAAGAATGCATAACGAGTAACGCAAAAAGACTGCAGTGTAATTTCATTGACAATTAATCAGCAGAAATAGAAATTCGTTAGGAAACAAAAATTGATATGCAGCTGATCTCTATTATAAAACTGATTTAGAAATTCATGAAAGAGTTTTTGACCAATAAATCAACTTCAAAAAGCATTAGGAGGCAATAGCATGACGAGGTCCAATTTAACAAAGGATGATTGGGTTTGTTTTTCTATCGAAGAGATTTCGCATTTTATGATGAAGATATTTCACTCCACTATTTAGCGATACATAAAACACAAGCGCGATGAAATTTCGTACGACAAAACACACTTCACTAGTTGAGAGTGAATGATGTAGTGTGTTGCGGGGAATGGGGAATTTCGTGAATCCCATCCTCGTTCTCTCATCCTCATCCGTAACTTTCTCCCTTCCCCGCAACAATCAATGAAATGTCAATATGAATTATTCAGCAACTTGTAAACAGTAAAATTCCTATCTAAGTTACTGGGAGGGTTTCGTTTTGGTAGAATAGCTAAAAAAAAGTGGTCAATTAACAAGTGAGCAATGAATAATAAATGGGCGATAACATGAATGGGAATAAAGAATTAATTTGGTCATATATAATCAAGTCGAAAGAGTTCGAAGGTGCGTTGATTTGAGGTTATTTCATAGATGGATAGGATGGCAAAATGCAATGATGCTTGACTATTAAGTCCGTTGATGTGTGCAATGGGACTACGAAGGCGTAGATGAAGCACGATTGTTTCCATTCTCTTGAGACAATTTGGAATGCCGGCAAATTTGCGATCGATACGCAGCCCCAGAATCTTCTTTCATCATAACCATTAATCCATCAATCCATCCATTCATCCAACCATACTCTCATACGCATATTGCTGCTTATCTACCACATGTGTTTCGAATTCACATTGATAATGTATTTGTTGGTTAACTAGCTGCTTAATTTCAATCTTATTTACTCTCCAATTATCGCCTCACGAACAACAAAAACTGCTGAAATGTGGTTTATATCATTCGAAATTTTATTAATATGAAGCATAAAGCCTTAGACATTCTGTTTCCTCTCATCTGATAGTAAGAATTAGAGCTAGATGCTTCTCAAAGTTGCAGATTTTAGCTGGCTATGTGTACCTTTAGTATCTCAGAAACAGTGCAATCACACAGCATGATGTTAAAAACAGAGGTTCATCTTAGAAGTTGAACACATAGAGCTTATTTCAAATACATGTATGAAGGAATCGAAATTTTCTCAAAGTTTCACACAAATAGGATCGGAGACACGGAAAATTAATTACAGATGCGGATTCGAAACCCTCCTGTGATCATTATATGCATCACTTCGTTTGGGGCAAAATGCATTTCACCTGAAAAAAAGAAAAATTTTCTTGCGGTCTAGCTATGACTCCTCTGGAGCAGTCCACCGACGATGCGGAATAAAATCAGACTTAAATGAATAAGGCATGTAAAGGAGCGATTTCGTTTGAATACTGCTCATAGATTGATCAATTTGATGCAGTCGAACCGCTTGCACCATGACTCCATAAGAGTTATTCATCAACTTTGGCGATGCCTAAAACTTAATATCAGCTAGATATAGCATGACAACAAAAACAAAACATTAGGAATAACGGTCGTCTTAAAGTGCAAAAAAATATATTATAAATTTTTGTGACGACAACAATATGAATAAGAAGGCGGTCGATTAACATGATGATGGATATTCACATAAAGATATGGATGACACTCATTCAAGTGCACCATCAAAAATTTAATGCATTCAGACGGTTGAATGACGCTGACGTTGGCTGATTATCGTACTGAACGAATGCATGAAATTGCTAGCCATGGATGATTGATGAACGAAGCGGTATGTTTGATAGGGCTGAAGTTGGGAAAGCAGTAGCAATGAACGTCGTTTGCTTGATGACGAGAATTGAGTATGCATGTTATTCGTTCACTGGTATATTGGATCGAATGAATAAGGCCAGGCCAGGCTGCGCCGAAGTGAGTCGAGTCAAACCAGTCCCAAAGCAATGTCGGCCGGGGGATGACCATATTAAATTCGTTTGTCAAGATCACCACACTCCCAAGTGTGGAAAGACACACAAAAAATGCTGCTGTTGCTGTTGTTGCTTCATGCATTCTTCTCAGTACCCGAGCACCGTCACCAGCTACACTGCGCTATTGCATCTAGTTCTGACGAACAACTTTCAATATGAAAACACTTCTCTGAAATGCACTCTTCAATATGCACGATAATGCATGTGTGATGATGCATCAACAAATTCTCTTTTTTCGTTAACAGATCCTCGCAAATTCATTGAAATCATTTCAGTATTACATGCTGTTATGCTTCAACTTTATTTACAAGCATAATATTGCCACTAACAACAATAATTAATAATAATTACTAATAATAATTTACTAATAATAATAAATAATAATAATAAATAATAATGATAATAAACAATAGTAATAATAATAAATAATAATAACGATTAATAATAATAAATAATAATATCAGTAATGATAATAAAAGCAATAAATCTTTACTGGCGACAGGAATAACATTTAAAGTAATATTAATAATGTGAGCAATTATCATAATTCATGAACACTTAACAACACATTAGCTAATCATCATTTTCGCATGAACCACTTGATGCACTTACTAAAAAGTGCTCTTGAACTAAAACAAGTAAAACCCCTTTTATATTTTTGGAACAAACGAACGCTTGATTCCACTCGATTGTTATGGATGTTGAACAAGCCAGGTTCAGTCGATGAGAGAAATGAATCTCTTTGTCGGTTTATCACTCACACAATTTCAGTAATTCATTTTTTGACATTTCATAACTGAACAAGTGTGTTTAACTTTTTTAAGCGCTGCATAATCGCACAGAAGTTGTCTTGCTCCTCATAACAAACGTTTTGCATTCCTTGCAAAAATTTCCTTCAAAATGTCCCAAATACGAGACGTTCAACTGAAGTGAACGCACAATGTTGATCGTTAAGATGATTACCATCTTCATGTCTCTAAATACAGTGAAACAACCAATGAGAATGCTAGCGATTTTATTGCAAAACATAAACCAACACGTTCACAAAAAATGGAATATTGAATGACGATGAAAGCACATAAATTCTGCTACAAAAACTATGTTGAGAAATTATACCAATAAGTTTTCAGCACCAACTCGTGACAACGAGTAAAGGATACTTGCAAACTTACTATTTGCCATTTTGGTCAAGCTGTATGTCTTGCAGCCCTCGACGAGACTAATGCTTTTCAAAAGAATAATTGCTGAATTCGATAAGGCAAGAACAATTCATAATCTAATCATAAACAATAGTATAACGACTATTACTCTCAACATCCTAACTGAAAATCGAATTTTTTCCTGCGACGATGATAAAACAACGTCCAGCGCGAGAAATACAACCCTTAGCACTATTTTTTAGCAACGTATTTCTCACCGATTAAGCATTATCGTTCTCGTTTCCGCAATGATATCCCTACCTGGTACAAGGTCTTTCACTCCTCATTACTCCAGTTCGCCAGGTAACCCACAAATTTTGAACAAAAAATTTCGACCACTTTAGCGAGATTTACGGGATGATATATAGGTTGTTCCAAAACTGCGCAGTTAGCTCGCACACTTTCCTTGTGAGCATAATTTCGCCGTAGACCAGCGGTTCCCACAGGGGGTGAAATTACCCATTTCGGGTAGTTCGGTGGTCTCGTGGGGGAAGGGGGGAGGGTAACGGAGGGAGTCGGGAAATTAGTATTTCGTAGAGTTGTTATGTTATGATAAAACGCCATTGTGATGATGGTCTTTCACTTGGGTATGTAAATACGATTAGTTCATGGCAGCACTCTTCTTCCTTCTATTTTTTGAGCATCATCAGCTCATCCGGGCCTAATCAAAAGTCTGTTTAGTCACAAATGTTTCGTAAGTTCTTCAGTATATTGGCTGATATTGTCTCTCATAAACATTGGAGACTTATTGAGAGAAAGTAATAT